AGGCTCATTATAACTAAATTCATCACTTTTAGCCCTAACATACTCTTTCTAACTTCCTTAAAGTCATTGTTAGTCATTGTTGATGTATCCCTTGCATGTAAAAGCTTAAGTTGCTGCTGAAATCCTGTTGCCATTTCCCACAATCTACACTTCTCTTTATCTATTGCATCTACTTTAATCATGATTGAATCTAACTTTTCCTCCAACCTACAAACTTTAATAATATTTAAGAACCAATTACTTAATTTCATCACTACTTTGTCTTCACACTAAAGTAATAAAGTTTATCTTTAATTATATAGAACTTAATTTATGAGAACAATATATATAACGTTAATAATAAAACGTATTTACTTTAGCCTGGTTTATTTTATAACCTACCTATATCTATAAAGTATAAGCTGAATTTAAACTAATGGATCTAAGTTCAAATAAACACCTTAATTCTAGAACACCAAGAAACAATAAACAATTTTCAGATTGTATTTATTTAATAAAACAATTTATTTATCCTGTTTTACAATTTACTTGTAAGTATAAATATAACCTATTTTAAGTTAAAACATTGTAATAATAATTTACACCTTTAAACTCTACTAAAACTTTAAATGTTTTACTTTTATTTACCAATCTTATTATATCTAGTTATTATGGTGTTATTTAACCCAAATTACTACAAATAATAATAATATTATTAAATAACTTTCTGAAATCTATGAGCCTAGCTTTTCAACATCCTTCCTCTTCATCTGAAAGTGCTAACAAAGTTTCTATTCTAGCTGAATAAAAGTTAAAGTTGTTCTCACCCTGATTGGAAAGATTGGATTAATTACTGAAAAAATGAGAAATTATTTTGTTTAAATCAAAAATTTTAAAGTTGAGATCCTTGTACCATGTATGTTGTGAACATATTCAATGACATAAGAATCTGGCTAAATACATACCTTGAAGTAACATTTCTGCATTTATACAAAAAAATTATTTTTCATTTGAAGATAACCAAAATGCTTTTATCTTTACTTATTTAGACTAGATATTCTAGATAAGAAAAAGATCCAAGATGGTACCTTAATCATTCATAATACAGACCTTCATATTAACTACTGGCATTGCTCCTGTGAATTAATGTCTGAAAAGTTTCCTCAGATAGCCAGGTTTTATCTAGGCAAAATACTTAATATGAAATACCTAGGAAGTCTCCATTTGTAGTTGTGCCTTGAATCTTTTAATGAATGTGATAGCCTCATTGTAGCTGAAAGGCCAGCCATTATTAAAAATTCTGAGAAGCATTTGCTCTTCACATAACAGGCTTGAGCAATACCACTCTTTAAACCCCTTGCTATGGATAGGTTAAGGTGCACATCACAATTTTTTACAGAGTTATATTCAAAATTTAACACTCTCAGTACAGGCTCAATAGATTTGAGTTAAATCTTGACCCCAACTTGACCTTTAGAGTTTCCATACTATAACTTTTAACTTGTTTTGTTTATCTTCACAAAATATTGCAAGCTTTCAGTAAGCAATACAAGTCTTTCATTAACAAGGTATTTTAATAAACATAGCACCATGAGTATATGGAGTCAAAGTGTTGACTGCTCCAAGTGCAAGGTGATTTTGATGAAAAGATTAAAAATACTTTTCTTCACCTGAAAATTTTCAAGTTTCATCTGCATAACCTCTAAAACTTGCTGAATAAATGTCAAACTTTTTTTTCTGTAAAACTTTATATTTTATCTGTTATTTCCTCTATCTTAACTCTATACAGGGTTGGTCAAATTGACTGACCTCATAAACACCATAAAAAGATTAAGAAATAAACACAAGTTACCTTTTTCATCTTTCTAGAATGACATCAATTCCTTCCTTATTCTAAATAGCTTAAAACAAGTAACAGTATACATCTGTTTCTACTTAAATCTTATTGCTTTATTGCCTTTTGCACCCTGTCTAATTACTAATCCTGCCATGCAAGTTCTAAATCACTCAGCAAACATGTAACTCATGTTACCCTATCAAATTATGTAGTGCACAAGATACAGGCAAGGTTTTCACAAGCATACTTCTTTATCTTTCCTATTCTAACCTAATAAGTTTCTAATATGTAAATTTTAGTTACTTTTATAATAATAAATAAAGAACACAAACGAAAAACAAGAAATATAATACTTACCTGGGTCTTCTTTTTTTACTGACCGTCATTGAAACTTAACCCTACTTTTTTATACTAATGGTACTACTACACTAAATAATTTTGTATTTAATTATATAATGCACTAAGAACATGGAATAATAACAGGTAAAAGGCAGACATTACCCTATAAATATCATAATTTTTCTGGCTTTCTAACTACGAGATAAGAGCAGTTAAATATTCAGCTAAGCTCCTCCATGTGTTTCCTGTGGGAATAAAGTTTGAACTGGAAACAAAATAGTCAACTCTCTGTACAAAATACAATGCAATATGTGTCATTTGATAGTTTAAAACTATGCCTTTCTATTGGTTCTAAACAATATAGTATTAAACATCAGATAGAACTATTGGCAATTTGTGAAATAGGATGTGACAGGAAGGTTCTGATTTTCTATTTTATTGCTCTGTAACCAAATAAAATTGTAGGCTATAAAACTTTCGCTTTGCCCCCAGTAATATTATAATGAGTAATTTACATTAAATTCTGGGAGGGGTGGTAAATAAATTAGAGAAGAGGGGATATTTAGAGAACAAATGCCACAATTCTTATACTAGGTTGAGAATGAGGACTTTTAAAAATATTTCCTTATAAAATTAAGAAATTAAAACTTCTATAACTTTAAAATTTGTTTTATTAACAATTGAAGCAACTTGAAATTTTCGAGGAAATTTCACAATTGCTTCAAGAGTTTTAATACTTAAAAGTACGTAGAATAAAAGCTTAAGGGTTTTAATACAAGCAAGCAAGTAAAGATAGATAAAAAAGAAAAAGAGGCGACAATGGGTCGCCTGTGTTACGAAATACAGTAAGCCTTGAGAAATTAATAAACAGGAATTTGGTTATACAAGAGGCATCATTCAGAAGTAAGCAGCAAAACACGTGCAGTACTTAAAGATAAGTTCGAGAGGCGAGCCTGCAAATTAGTGACCCAGGGTCAATAGCAGAGTTAGTAAGAACTATTGCATAACAAACAGGATGTGGATGCCAATACATGTGACAGTTTGATGGAGTGTTGGCCTCGATCTCTTAGCACTAGGAAAGCTGCAGAAAAGTTTATATTTGGTGAATCATATCGGCACTTTGAGGCAGTATTAGTTACAGCACATGGGTGTAGCAGTACAAGAGAATAGGCGGCCGGCTAACACCACTTATCTATGACCAATAACTTGAGAGTTTTGGTTTAGGTTCTGGATTAGCCCTGGGAATTACCCTCAAGTATCCAATAAGAGCACAGGACTACTTGTGGGTGATGCTGTGTCCTATTTAGTGGGTCGAACTAACACCAGGAAAATAGAGTTTAAAAACCCATGTCAGAGGCTGAAAAATCAGCTCCCGCCGAAGTTCTCTCCAGGAAGGAAATTCTCCAAACTGAAAATGAAGTTAAAGTTTACTAACGTTGCTACAGCTTCCAAAACTCCAACTCTACTGTAAGTATAGTCTCTCTCTCTTGATCAGGTAGTGTAGAAAACATTAAGTTTAACAGTAAAGTTTATTAATAATAATTGTTTGATAACTTACATTTTAACTGTGTAATGATTTTATAATAAGTAATTGATATTAAATAAATATTATTTTGAGGATATACTGTTGGTCTGAGAGTCATATTCTTTAGTCTAACTGTAAACTCCTCGAGTTAGCGATTTGTGGCTCCACTCGTCATGACAAATCCTCCAATAAATAAATTCGGTATAAAGGGTAGTTTTAATTGAAACTCCAATAATTAAGCTCACCTGAGCGCTACCTTTTACACAATGTTTTTGTGCCAATGAATTTTGGAATACCTACATTAAACATTAAGATTCTGATATTACTGTTACACATCCAAAATATAAAAAAAGACCAAATGGTTTTACTTTGTAATAACTATTTCTACTCAATAGTGAGAGGTTTGGAATATTGCTAGATTAACCCTGTCGCGATGGGTCAGGTGTCAAAGGCATTTCATCGTGTTTGTTGACTTGCATTCAAGTTTTTTAAGTTTGGTATCAAATTGTAGATTATAATTCAAATTTTAGTATTATATATTAGTTAATTTCTTAATTTAAAAGCAAATATTAAAAACCCAACTTAACATTGATTTTTGTGTGTCATGTGGTATGTTGAATGCAGCACTGTTCAAATTAGATGTTTGTGATGTCAAAATACAAAGTCTATAATTCCGTACGAATTAGGAACTCAAACTACAGATACTGACAAGCTAGAATATACAATAAGAACCTTTTATTTTTTCTGTTTGCTAAGATATTGCTCTTGTACTGAATCAAACACAGTGGCGCCCCTCACTCACCTCTTTCCATTTTCAGAAATGCTCCCTTATATACACTTACTTCTATATATGACATGAATAACCAATTGAAAGCTCAGAATGTCCCTCTAGTGGTTTTCTCAGCCATTTTGATGTGTTATTGTGTTAATCTCATTCTTTTCACACAAGATTTCAAACGATAAGGTAAGCCTTTAGTGAGCTCAAAATTTCATATTTTTTTAGACCCAAATACAGCTTAGTAACTACATTTGATAAATTATAATGGAATTCTATGGTATTGATATAATAATTTATGATTTTTTTGGTAATTTAAAATATATATATAAAATCTAAAAAAATTTTCTTTTCACATCCTCCTCGTGGGATATTTCATAAGGCTTATCAACCTACAACAACTAGCAAACTAGTACAAAGGTCATAACTAGAGGAGCTAACTGTTTGCTTTACTTCTTTATTTACTGTTCTATGTTTTAAGAAAAATAAGTTTAAGAACTTATTTGTAAATAGTATTAATGTATATATGTGTATAACGTATAATAATTGAAATGTGACTATTTTACAAAATTCTAGTCTACAAGATAGGTCATTTTGTAAAGACTGAAGGTCAGTTTATATTTGTGAATATGGTATCATGAGTGCACATGCGCTGTGTCATTGTAACTTCTGTATTATTTGCCAGGCATGCCTGGAAGGTCAATATATTAAAAATAATAAATATATATAAATGTATAATGTTATGAGACTTAAGCTATTTAGACTAAACATTTGTGTTTTCATGTTATAATCTGTAGTCCTTCTAGAATGAAAAAAGCATAATTTAAATTTATTTCCTAATTTTTTATGGTAGTTACGAGGTTGGTCAAATTGAGAGATTCCATAGAGTTAGGGTAGAGAAAGTAACATAAAAAAAATAAAGTTTTACTGAAAACAAACGTTTGAAATGTATTTAGGAGGTTTTAGAGATTACACAAACAATATTTCAGATTTTTGGGATGAACAATAATCTTTTTAAGTTATAACATGAAAATCACTTTGAACTGCTAACAAAACAGCCTCAATATTTTCAGAAACAAATCTATAACAAAAATACTTCATTAAAAATTCTGATTTTTTTGTGTATGAAAGACCTGTAATCTTTACTAAAAGTCTACCAAATTTTGTGAAGATACACTTACTGCTTTAAAAGTTATAGTATAAATACTTAACTTGTGTATATTATACCGAGCCCGTCTCAAAAGGGTTAAAACAATAATTTGAACAATGACAAGAATGAAAAGCATTCTAGCAAGGACACGATAAATTTAAATTTTCAAAAGTTAGAACTTACGTTTTGGTGGTGTTTTAACAGTTTCTTCACTTTTCACCAGTTTGAGATCCAATAAATCATTCTGTTCCTCATCATGCAAGGGTTCAACTTTGGTGTTTAATACTTCCATGATTACAACAGCATGTCACCCTTTACATGCTTATCCAAAGTTTGCAATCTAAAAAAAGAGAAAATACACAGATTATTACAATTTCCAACCTCTTAAAATTTAACTAACACACATTTTTCCAAACAAAGAAAATCTTAAAAAGTTAGCCGCAAGAATACCACTTTTTTTTACCCTTCTTAGATTGTTAAAGCTGTAACAAGTTTATTTGTTTTAACAGCTTTCACCTTATAAAAGAAAAGTGTGTAGTAGATAAAAGAAAAGATAACTCACTACATTTTGTAAGCAAGAAATGTTCTGGAAATATGGTTTTACCTACCTAAAAAGCTGTACCCCAAATATATAAATATGCTAAAACCCAGCACTATTTGATTTGAGTTCCTAAATTCCCTTTTTAGCAATTTTTACTTCAAGATTTAATCTCTTGTTCATTCCAATTTGAAGATTACCTAATTCAAAACTATTATTCAATAATTTACCAAGTGTACAACCATCATGTTTAAACTCATATAAAAAAAGCTGTTCAAGTGTAAGTAGATTTTCTTTTTTTACTTTAAATTCTGCACTCCCATCAACAAAATTGATAAATTAAATGCTGGCAAATTCATGCAGATACAAAAGTAAATGCACAAATGATATAAATAACCACATTAATGAAAAGGTTATAAATTTCAGGATAAAAGTTATTTTCAAACATGAATGTATTAAGCAACCACCCTTCATCAGATCTATATACAAAATGAAGCAGAAAAAAAACCCACAAGATTAGAGGTATAGTCCTAGAATACTTGTTATAATAGAACTACCATGGCCAATGAGTATGTATTTGGTTACATGTCTTCATAAGTTTGAGCACCCAGTCCCATCTTTTATATAATTTTCTGTTGTTTGTATCCTGTTTTTTTCACCTGTGACTTGGTGGTTAACAGGAGAGACTCATATTCTCATATTTGAATAGCTGTTGTTACCACAATTACTTCCTTTTAAAATGGTACCTTTTGTAGTTTCTATATCTTGAACAAATTTAAATAACTATTTCCTTGTGACAAACAAATTTGTTATATCAATATACACACACACACATACTATTAAATGAAAGACAATAATAACAACAAGGGTTTACATATATGTAAAACATCCTTTGTTTTGTAAAAGTTAACATTTTCCTAAACTCAAAATGTATTTCTGATAGATACATACCTCTACTCACAAAAAGCTTTTTCAACTTATACTGCCCTCTATTGATACAAATTTTTGCTTGCCACTAGCCTTTATATTCCCACCTACCTTCATGTATGTTAACATGAGATATCTGCACACTAACATGCAAAGGATTATACAGCAACCCCCCACTAATAGAAGTGCAACACTACCTCTATTGTAACTAGCACCCTCTCTAATCTTGCAGCTGTTAAACACTTTGAGAATGGTCAGATCACACCAAACCACATCGTAAGTGGGGAGGACAGGTGGGAAGTGTGAGGGAAGTTAAATATCTATAAGAAATATGTTTTCAGTTTAGAATAAGGTTAACTTCTGATACAAAATATCTTACCTCTTCTCACAAAAAGCTAGAATCCCACACTGAACAAGTGGATGGCTGGTGAGATGATCGTCTCCCTTTGGGAAGCACCCCAGGGAAAACCATAGGATGTGAGAAGAAATTAAAAACAACATACCCATGGGAGCCTGCACCACTTCTGTGCCAGGTATACTCTTCATCCATTAGTAATGTGTCACTAAAAGGGTGGAAACATTTGTGGGGCCCAAAAAATTATAGAAATAAAAAGTGGCCCCTCAGTGTAGAATGGCTAAGGGGGTTACAGACCATAAATGGGAGTTCAACCTCAACCAACACCTGGAAGCATCTGGAATTCTACATCAGGTCTGCTGTAGGAAGAGGGTACACTCTGGCAGGGAAGAGGAACTTCCATATCAAGAACCCACCTCCAACACAAAAAACACCAGATCCACCGGAATCCAACATCTGGAAGAAGGTAGGAAGGTGGAGGGCCCAGGTGGGTTGTCATCTCCAGTCTAAAACCTGGCCGCATTAAGAATTTGTCATCCAGTCCGTGACAGGAGGAGGGTACCCAACTTTACACCTGTGGAAATTCATGCGTCTCATCCAGCTACAACCAACACCAGATCCACCAGGAACTGACATCTAGCAAATGGTAGGAAGAGGGATGACTATATGTGGTTTCATGTCCAGTCCAAAACCTGGTGGCATTGGGAATTTATTGTCCATTCCGCTGTAGGAGGAGGGTAACTATCCAAACATGTGAGGACTTATGTGGCTGGTCTGGCTCCAAATAACACCAGATCCACCAGGAAACGAGTGGTAGGAAGTAGGGTGTCTCAGTCAGAGGGGAAAACTGTATATGGTAAAGTGCTACATCCAACACCTAACAGCATCTGGAATTTAACATCAGGTCCAAGGTAGGAAAGGAGTCACACCATCTACACTGGCAGAATGCTACCACCATACTCTCAACTGAGTGGTATTGTGCACAATCAGGAGGACAGGCCTCCATGCTCCACCACCACAGCAACTACAAACTGGTAAATGGCAAGGACTCCCATACTCCACTAGAAAAAGGAGGGAAATAGTGTATTGGAAAGTCCAGAGGACCACAGCACCAGAGACATTATAATTAACATGAACAGAATCGATCAACCAACACCTGGCAGCATCTAGAATTGGACATCAGGTTCGCAGTAGGAAGAGCCTCAATGTTATGATGATCTATCATGGTATATGATGACAGGTCTTACAATGTGGATTTAAGACTAATTATAGCTGGTCAGGCAACACTCTCAACAGAGTGGGATCCAAACATATGAGAATGACCTCTACAAATAAATGAAATAAACTCACAGAAAAACAGAGGAGCATAATATGGCAACAGGTACGTGGAATGGTACATAAACCAGTACTGATGATGTCCTTCAAGGGAAGGCAGAAATGTGCTGCCTGAGACAAGGTATATTGATAGATCAGATAGGAAGAAACATGAAAATGGTGACAATCATCAAGAGAAAGGGAAAAATACACCAGGTGAATTCATTGGCAAATCCAACCCATAAGGTTAATGGGAGAAAGATCACAGGAGAGGTTAGGATTCCACAAAATAAACAAACAGAACTAGAAACCACAGAAGGAAGCAGTGCATGTCATATACCAGTGGAGAGCCCTGACTGAGCAAAGGAGGCAGTCAAGATTGTAACAGTCATAAAGGTGGAATATGGAGGGAAGTGAAACGGGTGTAAAGGTAGAATTAACCTCTTGAGCAACCAAAGTTTTGAGCATAAAGGCATGATCAGGAAAGAAGAGAACATAGGAACTATGAATCAAAACACGGCAAACATCAATTGCAAACATATCAGAATGACAACATCCACACGCTAAAATTAGTATTAACAGAAACTTCATGGAAAGGTTATATAATGAACAAGAAGACAAATGTTCAAATGGATGATGGGTAAGATCTTGGAAGACTACATTGAGGTTCCAATCAGGGAGAGAAGCAGAGCGGGGAGGAAGGGAAATGAGGAAGGAATGAAACAACATGGACAAGACAGAAGACTGGAAAATACAAGTAAATTCGGTAAACTAAAATGTGGCTGATCTTGCCACCCAAAAGCCCACAACAGAGGAAAGCAAAAGGCCCCTGTCAAAAAAAGATGTTATGTGAGGAACAGTAGGATGGGAAGGATGATAACCCAATCAGACAGACCAACAGTGATATGTGTACCACTTATGTTGGTAAACTGCTTTTGAGAAAAGATGAACAGGATGGTAAATGAAGGAAACTACACATTATGAAAGTATGGCCATTCTGGCGAGGTACCACACAAAAGCTACATGTGAAGACAGAGCGTGATAATGAATGAATGTTGCATGCTGGGTCTGACATAGGAGTGTTGGAGATAAAAGAAAAGGAAAAGGGTGACCCCAAAAGTGGGTGTAACAGTGGAAACCATGTTTGAGCCACCCAATATGGAGCCACCAACAGAACATGACACGGAGTGGTCTGAATTATGGCAAGAATACGTGGAAGGAAACAAATAGGAGGATATGCATATAGGAACCAACCTGTCCAATCATGACTGAGAACATCAACTGCCCCTGCCATAGGATGAGGAACAGGAGACTAAAAGCAGGGAAGTTGTGTATTGAGATGAGTGGTAAAAAGCATCCAAATCTGGAACACCCCACTGAGCACACAAGCCTGAAAAAACAAAAGCCACCAAAGACCATTCCACAGGTAGAATCTTGTCGGAATGGGATAACCCGATCCATGACCAGCTTCATGGCACTTGGCATATGACATGTCAACATAGTGATGTTATGCTGTGGGCCCCAATACAGAATATCCAATGTTTGAAATTTGGTGTGTAAGATAGGGGGAAGGGGAAGAGGTGCATCTGTGGAATCCCAAACAAGGCTCCATTGGTCTATCAAAACTCACTGAAGATGACATGTGACTGCAACCAAGAAGAATGAGGGCTTCTAGAGAAGCCCACATCCCCAACATAGAGAGAGAGAGAACCTCTCACGCAGGAGAGGATGAGATTCTGCATACAAGACATTTCATAGCTCTCAACCAAAGTGGAGAAGGCTGGGTCGAACTGAGGAGGGAGTTGAAAAATACCCCAAGATAAACCAAATATCATGTGGGTGTGAGGAAAAACTTTACCTTGACAAGCCAACCTACACTTGCAGTTTGTGAGGAGGCAAGAAGCAGCTAGTTGTCCATATAATGGTGGAAACAAAGGCCCCTGGAATGAAGCGGGTGGAACACTTGACAGAAGACATAGGAAGCTGAGGCTAGTGTGAACAGAAGTGTCCAAAATTGAAACACACACCAGGCACGAACAAAGCAAAGAAAAATGGCATACATCTTAGCAGTGAACACAGAAACTTTAGAGGGAATACTGTGAGCAACCACCAAGCCACAACAAACCATGGCAGAGCCCACAGAGTCACCTGATTTCAAACCATTTATGAAAACGGGAAGAGAAGAATGGTTCATAAGATGTTTGGCTAAGAGAAGACAGTACTTCCAATTGGGAGTATCTGTGATAAACTCACCACTTCTATTGGTATATGGATAAATTAGAAGGGTGACAAGTATGGGGCAGAAGGAAGGCTACATAATCTGAGAATCTGGCTCAATGAGCAATGGACCTGACAATTTCAATGGGAAGATGGAGAGGCATCATTCATTGATGAAGCATTGACGTGTGAATTTGGAGTAAGAGAGATGGGATACTGGTAAGAGGGGGGTGTTTAGTTGAGAGACATAGAAGCAGAGCAAACCAAGTTTGAGTTGGTCAACAAAATAGTAGTAAGTGAACCTGGCAAGGGGTGACTCAAATCAGAGCAAAGACCCGAGGGAGGAGGCAAAGAGGAGGATAGGTATATATAGAAAGAGTTGAGATCAGTCCTGACTGGGGGCATCAATAGCCAGGGCTGAGGGATGGAGAACAGTAGACCAAAAGGAGGGAAAATTGGTATTGTGTGGAGTAGCAAAAGCATTGATTTGAAATGTTTCTAGTTTAGAGCATACCTAGCAGAAAATCTGGGCAAAATGTGGTTCTGCCTGAAAGGTGGTTGGCAATAAGATTCAATGCTCCCAGGACATGGCAAGCTATCAGACATACTCAATGAGAATCAAATCAAAAGAGAAAGTCCAATGTCTGAAAGCAAAGGGTTCTGAAATGACTTTAGAAATGTCAAAATGAATCATAATTAAACAATCCATACAAGGATTGCTGGAAAGGCTTCATGGTTATGCAATGGTCACTGAAGGTGACACATACTTGCACAATCAAGAAGAATGATTGCAAAAGAACCTCTCGAACAGTATGAGAAGGAAAGGCTCAAATTTTGGTGACCACACATTCCAGATCCCACAGGCAAATAGGAGAAGAATGGGAACATTCGAGGCAAAAGTTGAATATGAATCTCACGTGGTGAGGTACTAGGTAGATGTGAGGAAGGATTTGGATATCTTGATGAACTACCTTGTTAAAAAGATGGAAAGTGTGTTGGGAGAATTCTGCCTGGGATTGAACAAATAGAAGCCAATCATTCATATAAAACTGGAATCTCAAACGCAGTCCATGAATATGCCAAGCAAAAGCCCTCGTAACTTTATTTAAAATGTAGAGGGTAGACACTATGTTAAATGGAAGAGCCTTGAAATAGAATATGCAATTCCAATGGATGAACCAAAGACATTGTTTGAAGGGTGGGATAATCGGAATATGGAGGAATGCATCTGAAACATCGGTCTTGGTCATCCATAGGCTATGTGAAAATGACCAATGAAAAGATAAGAAATTCTCCAGCCAAAAGTATAGAATAAATAATGATTGTGGGAAAAAGAGATTGATTAGAGGACAGGGCGGCAAGGCTGGCATTGGACAGAGAAGGGACAGTTTGAGAAGGAAGGAACAGAAAATTGAAGGGTAGATGGACCAGGGCAAGGAATAGAAGCAGAAAACTCAAAATGTCAGAGAGCACTGGTGGTGGGCAGCTTCAGCTTGTAACTTCAATGAATCAGAAATATCACCAAAAAACCTCTGGAAGAACAGAGGGGGCAAGGCAAAGGTCAAGGAAGAAGGTAGTGGGGAGACAGACTTGGGAGAAGACAGTACCCCTATCCAACAAGTCCCAGTAAAAGAGAAATCAGGTTAGAATGAAAAAATGGTGAATAGGTGAAATGGGCCAAAGTGAAAAGGATGGAATTAGTTTCTCCAGAAAAGTCATCTGGGGAGTAATGAAGAACATCAGTCATGAGGTGTAGAGAGAAAAAGTAACAAAGGAGGGTAGTGAGAATGAGGAGGAGATTAGAAAATTGGCACTAGACATGGAAACTGTAGACAAAGAATCCACATTCCAAACTGGCAATAGCAATTCTAGAGAAGGAGATTCAAGAAAAGGGAAGGTGGAATGGCTGTATGCCAATAAATAAAAGTCTGTTAACTCTCTCAACACAGGTTCCGTTAATTTGACCGACCACATGACCTCTTTGTACTCGTTTAAAATCTTTATAGATTCAATACTTCTAACTTTCAATATAGTATGTATATCTTTCAGTTCATTGTTTGTTTGTTTTGAATTTTGCTCAAAGCTACACGAGAGCTATCTGCATTAGCCATCCCTAATTTAGCAGTGTAAGACTAGAGGGAAGGCAGCTAGTCATCACCACCCACCACCAACTCTTGGGCTACTCTTTTACCAACGAATAGTTGGATTGATTGTCACATAATAACGCCCCCCACGGCTGAAAGGGCAAGCATGTTTAGTGGGATGGAGATTTGAACCCGCGACCCTCTGATTGCGAGATGAGCACCCTAACCACCTGGCCATGCCGGGCCATTTTCACTTCATATTATAAATCTTTCACATACAAAAAAAATCATATTTATAGTGAAGTATTTTTAATAAAATAAAATAAAGATTTGACCATGAATATACTCAGTATTTGTTTTGAATAGTCCGTGTGAAAAGAAATTTTCATGTTCAAATAAAAAATACTTTTCCTCATCTCAAAAATCTCAAATTTCCTTTGTGTAATCCCTAAAACCTAAATGCATTCCAAACGTTTTTTTCTCATTAAAACTGTTCAGAACATAATATTATACAATACATCATTTGATTGATGAAAACCTTGACTTTCTATTGGTTATAGGCAATATATAATGAAACGTAAGAGAGAACTATCAACAAATTCTAAAAGATAGGATGTGACAGGAGGGGTTTGATTTTCTAATCAATAGCTCTGTAACCAAACAAAATTAAAGACTATAGAAATTATGGTTTGTCTGAGCAATTTAGATTTAATTTCGTACTTTTTTGAGGGTTGTTGCATAAAATATGGATGATGACATGCTAAGAGAAAATGTGTCACGCGGGTCACACTATTGGAAATTCAGGATTTTTTTAAATATGGTCTTGTAGAATTAAGAACTTAAAACTTGTATACCATTCAAATATGGATTATTAGCTAAGATTTTATGCTATTCTAATTGGTATAACATAATCAAAAAGTAGTTTAATAAAATTTTGAATGTAAGACACTAAAACCTTGTGTCATGCGCAGTAAAGGATACCCATGGCAATAGGGTTAAATAAGGAGGGGTGAAACATAAGATAGTGAGTGTGAAGCTGATCAAGGAAGGAATCAGCATTTACTGCTACATGAGGAGAGGGAAGGAATACCAAAAACTTAGAAGGATTAGGGTTATGAGTAATTGAAGGTGAAGAGTCAAAAGACATCGGAAAAAGAGAAAGAACAGTGCATACTTAAGAAACAAGGTCTTGGAAATTAGAGGAAGCTTGATTATTTTTTTCAACAGACAGAGTAGTTCCTAAGGTGAACCTAGGAAGGGGAAAAAGGCAATAAAAGTAATTTTCTTCAGTTTCAGATTCACAGAGAAGAAAAGGTATTTCTGTAGAAAGGATAGGAGATGAAGGTCCAGGCTGCATGATAGAACCCACAATTCAAAGAACGAAGCTCGTCACATCTTCCACAATTAATGAAAGTTCAGAAGCCATTGTTGTATTTTGTTCAGTGTCAGAAAAATCACTTAAGAACTGGTAGAAGTCATGTTAAACTGTCAATTCATTTGAGTATAGTAAAACTGAAGTTTTAGTAATTATGGAAATCTCATAAAAGTTGAACACGTCTATGTTCTACAGTGCTGAGGAAAAGAATGAGAATTCACGAGCACAAGAGCATCGGGGGAATTATTGCGCATGGAGGTGTGTTGCATTCCTACTGGTGGAGGGCTTTTGTTGCATAGTGACATCACCATGCAAAGGAACAAAAGCTAACATTTTCTTACAATGAAAGTTATTTACAATAGATACTTATACCCCCCTCACACAAAGCTATCTTGGTCTTCTTTCTGCCCTTAAGCAATGCTCAAAAAATTTAATGCTCAGTGCACCAGTCTACATACCTCACAAATTTTGTGCCACTTCTAAACATGTAAATAGCATTGATAGTATTGCACCACAGCCAACTTCACTTTGATTTTCCTGCTCAATCCTCACTTTTGAGAATTGGCAGCATCTAAAATTAATAACACCTGCAGTTGGGAGGAAGGGTGGGAAGTGTGAAAGAAGATAACTACCTGTCAGAAATACATTTTCAGTGCAAGGAAACGTTAACTTTCAATACAGTCTTACCTCCCCTCAGACAAAGCTAGAATCCCAAACTGAAAAGGTGGAGGGGGCAGTGTAGGTGCCTAAAAGTGAAACTAAGTGGAAGGCGACTACCTAGAAGTAACTTGTTTGCTCATAGACCAAGCTGAAGCACACATGCAAGGTACCACACACTAAAGGAACAAGTGTGCTCTTTGCCCTATAAGAATGAAATGAACCTGACATGGACAGACAAAAAGGATGTGCACAAGCTTAATTCATCCTGAGAGGTGCAATCCATTAGTAAAAAATGGCATGGGTTTGAATTGTCCTCCATCGCACAACCCAGTAGGTGAAGAGCTGCTATACGAAACAAAAACTCGAAGCAAACTCAATACCCACACGAGGAGAAAGTTTGCCAAAATATAATAATGAAGAAAAACATCAAGCCATGGCTATATATCTACCCAACATCAACTGGACGGACAGTT